AGTAGTTTCCATTTTCTTCTCCTATGAACCTCCAAGTCAAGCTTGAAGAAGTGGAGCATTTGGTGTAGCCTTATGGATCGGGATCTACTGGCTTGCTGTTAAGGAACTTAAATTAAGTTACGATACTGGGTATATATAGTAAATAATAGGGTTTCCCCAATATAGTAACTTAATTTTAAGCTCCTTAACAGCAACCCAGTCTATTGATATATCCTGTCATTCCCTAGGTGCCCTACCACCCGAAACCAACCGCAGGCTCCTCAAACTTGCAACCCTGAACATGAGCCCCCCCCAGCCTACAAGCGCCAAGACCCTGCCCTTCACCAGTGGCATTTGAAGCCCATAACACACCTTCAAACTTCTTAAAACCTAGAACTTCTGATGCCCTAAAACTCTACAGATGCCACTACCCCTGCACCCCTACTGCAAACCCCAAGCTTCCATTGCACCTCGGTCAGGCTATCTATCTGCAGTTTTGCTGTGAGGCCTGAGGGTCGAGCTTTGGGAGTTGGAGTATTTCTCACAAACAAAGGTACCCTTGGGGGCCCTAAGGATATATCAGGTGCGGCTTCAGGGCTTCCAGGGGAACGCGAAGGTATACTGACTTGGCGCCTGCTTAGAGATTCATGGGTAGATGTAAGCGGTGTGCAAAAGTACCTGTAGCTGGGTTGCAGGCTGCGAGTATGCGTATCTTACTTGGGACTCGCTTATAACTTTGCATGAACCTTCAAGTACTTTAGGTTTAAGCTTACTGCACGGAACAAGCACCAAACGACAACTAGGGGGGCACGTCGATTTCAAGGCAATCGTATGGCAGTTTCGCCGTTCAGAGACACCGGTTTGGTCCAGGGCTCAGGTGGTGTCTCGGGTTTAGGGTAAGGATCGCGGCCAAGTTGAGATTGGCGCCAGGTCTAGTAGTGGGGGTTTAGGCTTTAGGGCTTTAGAGAAAACCTTGAACTATTCAAACTAGAAGTCGTAAGCAAGCTAGCTGCAAGCAGCAGACACTGAAACCCTAGACCTGAAAACCCCAACCCTCACTAATACGGGAAGCCGTAGCCCTAAAACGCAAGGGTCTCGAACCCCACAAATTGACAAAACAAAGACAGAGGAAGCCCAAACCAGGCCGAACCAAAGCTGCTGACCCTGCAAAGTAAGTTTAGGGTTTTTGTTTGAGGATTTAGCTTTAGGGCTCAGGGACATGCGACCTTAATATGTCTTTTTCCAACTCCTCCCTTTCAGGAGCCCATGATCCTCTGACAGTCTCCGCATACCCCAGAATTCCTCAAGAAGCTCAAATGCTACTGGGTTGCTGCTAAGGAACTTAATTTCAGTTACTTTATTGGAGAAACCTTACTTACTACGTATACCCATTCTGGTGACTTTATCTGATCTTTCAACAGCAACTCACATTAGTTTTTGGCTTGGCCAAGAGACCCTCCGGAGTCTCATGTCCAAGACGGCCACCACAGGTCTCTGCTTTCGGGTCCAGCGCTATCTCATCATACCTTAGTCTTGGTTCAGGGTACAAGCTAGAGTGCGGGTGCCCCCTACTCATAAAATCCTGCCTGTATGGGCTGCATCATTGATACCTGCACTTGGTCCCTTGGAAATTGATTTTGGGTGTTAGTGTGTAGGTTTTAGGCCTGAAGTCTGTAGGGTCGATTCTATGAGTGATCCAGACAAGGCCATGGATCTTGACAACCACCCATGCGGTAGGTTATCAAAATCATGGTTTCAGCTGAGCTTAATCCTAGCGGCCCTATCAGAAGATATGAGAAGGAGGGTCCAAAAGGAATGATAGCTTGCATATCCTTCTATGCAAAGATTTGCGGATGGAACTCTCACCTGCCCAGGGCACATGGATGCAGACTGGGAGCTTGGAAGCTAGAATTGCAGATTGGCAGCCCTGACATTCTGACGAAGCGTCTTACCAGCAACCCACAAAGAAATTTCATCCAAAACCTCACACCCTGAGCCCTAAACCTTACAAACGGTGTGAAACCCTAAAGGTCTGGACGGATTAGCAGGTGATTACGAGGGTCCCGCTTGAGGATTCTAGAAAGGTTGCTCTAAGCATCTCACAGAATCTGTACGTAATGCTACCTATTCCTGTTATTATGGATAGTACTAGTACCATTGTGACACCTTCCTGTTATTCTGGTCCCTAAACCCTAAATCCTGAACTCTAAGCCTCATCGTTTACATGCAAAGCTCTGGCAGGCTACTCTGGCTCCTTCACAGTAACAGCCGCGGTGTCGGTATGAGTTGACGTATAGGCTGCCTGTGGCGGGTTTTGCATTTGCGGTCCCGGGCATAGGGTTAAGAGCATGAAGGGGTTATGAGTTTATGTAAGGACATATAAGGGCATGTGCGCCTGTGTATGGTTGGGAGTTTCGGGTTGCAGGATGTGTTGCGGGCTGAGATATGTCTTAAAGTTCTCGTGCAGATGCTGCTATCCAGTGCACGATGCTGCTGCTGCTGCTACTACTACTACTACTACTACTGCTACTACTACTACTGCTGCTACTACTACTACTACTACTACTATGACGATTCTCGTTGCGGCTCGGAGCAAAATACCAACGTGCGTCATATTTGTGCTGCTAGGATCGTCACAATCATAATCTGTGCTATCTCTGCCGCTGGTACACCTGTTGAATCGCAGAAGCTCCACTACCTTCCTAAGCAGACGGCATCTTCTAGTCCTGTTGCTGAAGGGAAATCTTTGCAGTCACTACATGGTGTGCCCATCGTTTTCTGAATAGCATGCAAGTAGAGTCATACTATGCAGGAACTGCACAAGCTTACTTTCTCAACCCTATGGCCAGCGAAACTGCATCATGACGCTGACTCTGCCCTATACTCCCAATTGAAAGCTCTAAACCCAAGATCCCTAGTCCTTAAGAATCGCAGGGATCTTTAGCATAAAGACTTAGGTAAGACTCTACATCCCACTACAAGGACGCATATGGCGATTGTGTTTTATATGGTGATTGTGTTTTGCATTCACCGGCATACGCTGGCTTTGCTCAATCGGGCTGCTTCCTTCACACCTTCCAGCATCAATTAAACAACCCGCCGTCCTCAAACTTTAGGACGCATTTAATCAGGGAAGGTGCTTGGGTTATGAAGTTGGTGTAGACGGCAATGCAGACGCCTCCACTCTGACCCCTTACTCCCCAACCCCAGGGTCTGTGAATACACTGACTCACGAACACTGAGCTTCTAAATCCCAAACCCCAAGCCCAAAACCCCCAACCTTGAAGCCCAAGTCTGAAGTCCTGACCGCCCTACCCCAACCCTAAGCCCTAACCATTCCCAACCATCCTGGACCCCAAATCCTGAACCCTAAAAGCCCCAACCCCCAAAACCCTCAACCAGCCTCTGGACCCCGGCTGGGCGGGTCAAAAGGAGCGGAGAACTGCGGTGGCTCGTCGGGCTCGGGCTCGAAACCGAAGTCCTTCGGGAGACGTGATGAGGATACGTGTAGCTGCAGTAAAAAGCCCTGATCCCTCGAAACCCAACACCGGCACGCGCTTCTAAACTCTCGTGCACAAGGCTCAAGCCTTGAAAGCATGAAGCCAACAAAAATGCCATGTTATGTCCTGTCATGCCCTGAACCAGTGCTCGCCTTCCCTTTGCTACTCCAGATGCCTCAGTCCGGCGAAGCCCAAATCAAGGCATGACTCCTTCAAGCCCTCATGTGCAAATCTATCAAGATCCCAATGGAAATCGCTCCGACGACTGATCAAAACAACTTGCACATTGGACCCTCCCGAAAATCATCGTGTTTCCTGCGAAAAGGCCTCCAAGTCGCATCCAGGCCTTGTCCCATGCGACTTGCACGACGATGACGACGACGATGACGGCGATGACGACGACGATGACGACGATGACGACGAGGACGATGACGACGAAAGACCTTTTTGAAGATACAACCTCAAAAATGGCAGGCCGCACCCCATGCGGGTGAAGCCAGCTGGTCCGCCAGCAAACAAAGAAGGGTCGGCGCGCCTCTACATCTGCATCCCTATATGCCCCCTTTTCATCCCAAAATACTTCCCCAAAGAAAGTCCCAAAACCAAAACCGAACGTCACATTTGACTCTGACGTCCTCCGGAGCGAACTGGCTCATCTTCAGTGGCTTCTGGTTCTTGTAGAAGATTTTCGGATCAATGTTGAGCTTTCCTAAGTCGGCATCTTTTAAGCAAAACTGTGAAGACCTGGATGTATAGAGCTAATGCTTAGCACACGTTTTTTCCTAACCCGTAAACCCTCAGGCGCCTAAGCCACCATCTGGGGGGCCGTGCGTGTTGTGTCTCCATCGCCGGCTCTCCGGATTAAAACTTTTCTGTTGGTAGCTATGCTGGTCCGCGCTCCGCACGCGTGGTCTTTCTAGCATTTAAATTGAACCCCTCCTCTCCCCGCAACAAAGCAACCCCTCAAGCCTGCTTGCATGTCTCGCATACAATGGACCAAACAAGGTGTACAAATGTTCGGCTTTCCCGGGCTTTGTAGGGAATAAGGGAATATATAATGTAGGGAGTATCTTCCTTTATTCCCTACTAAGAACCAGGAAGTTGTACGAGTGAAAGGATGGATGTGGTCGATCCCAGCTACCGGACCACCCTATGTCTCGGGATGTAGGGCTAGCTCAAAGAAAGATCAGCGTGGGCTGCAATTGCGGATCCCTTTTGGGGGTCCTTGAATCATCACCTCGACCCTAAACCCTAAACCCCTCAAAAACCAAACACGACCCAACGGCGACCCAGCATCGCAACTCCTCTTCCACGCTCGCCCGGCTGCTCGCTTCGTGCCTTGTGCTCGCTGCTAAAGACTTTAGAGTTAAGGGACAATTCATCAGCATAAAGACCATGCCTGCTGTGGTCAGCCTTCTTGCTAGTATGGCCAGCTGGCAATATCCTGTTGCTAGAGGCCGTCATCTCCAGAACCACAAACCGAATACTACGACCTCAATCCTACATGCTGTAGCCTCTGTAGCTTAAAAGGGTGCTGGTCGAAACCTTCTCAGCCTTACTATCACAGCCATCACATAGGGAAGTTGCGCAAGGCTTGGCAGGAGCTTGGCAAAGTCCTCGTAGCTCTCCACGTTGAGCCTTGGTTCAGAATTTGAAGATAGGGGTTCAGGATGGTAATTTTTTGCCCTTTCACCTTTTAGCGTCCGCGGATTTGGGTAGTTCCCACAATTAAGGTCCCATCTTGGTACCCCTACATATTGAGTAGGTGCTGTATTTTAATCTGGAATCAGAAGAGGCCAATAAAACAGCCCTATAGTCCCCCTTAAGTAGATAGAATATGGGGTATATGGAGATCCTATTATAATATACCCAAAGCCATATTCTATCTACATAAGGAGGACTATAAACCTAATCCCCCAGCTCCAGGCGTTCTCAGCAGGCTTTATGGAGTTTAGGTGAGGGCTTTGACTTCCACCTCTCATCCCCTCCCCCTGGTGTCAAACCCTCC